GCCTGGTGCTCCTTTCCTTCCCTTTCTGCTCCGTTTGACCCAGGAGATGCTTGTACTAATGATTGCGATTACCTGTAAGTTAGAACCCCTAAGGAAATAGAATACCTGTGACCAGACTAAAGCTGTTTGCTGCAGAAGCCTTGTGTGGATCAGTTATAAGAGCATTTTTGTGATTTCTGCCTGCTGAGGGCAAAAGTGCCATACCTTGAGAATTTTTATAAAACTGAATTTTTTATTTCTGACATAGTTTTAATATTCCGAGGTGACCAGGTAGTCTTAAATTTTCATTCAAAGCTTTACTTTCCAGAAAAGTTATATTATAACCAAATACTACTTTTCTGGGACTCCAAAATAGCTTTCCACATCATATATAAGAGGAAATTTGGCATTGAAGTTTTTATTTAAAACCCCAAGAAATTTAACAACATTTCAGAAGATGTTGATGTTAAGATGGGAAGAGTCCCTCACTTAGAACTCACTCGCAGCAGGTTGGCTGTGGTTCCCACTGCAGTGTGGTCAATGTGACAACAGCCAGCGGGGCAGGGATGCCCCGGGAGGGCCCTCCCTGCTCAGAAGAGAGGGCAGTACTAGCGCTGGCTCTTGTGTGGGAGCGTGCGTGCCAGCAGAGGGAGAAGGGTGTGCACTGACTGCAAGGCGACGAGAAGTTGGAATAAGAGGGTAAAAGTTGGGGGGGGGGGTGGTTGCGGACGAGGTAGGGAGCTGAGGCTAAGCAGGTAGGTAGGGTCAGACTGTGACTCTTGACATGGTGATTATGAATTTTATTTTACCGACTCCGAGGCAGTGAGAGGTTTTAACTAGAGATTCGATCTGTTTGTAATTGCCTGTGACACAATCATTTAGAGGGTGGTGTTTGTGGGCTGGAGTGGGAAGCTACACTGGGGAGCACTGGAGGCTTAGTCAGGGCAGACAGAAATGCAAAGCAGCAGCAGCAGAGCCCGGTCTAAGACAGGGCAGTCGCTTTGAGCCAGCAAGCCTGGTAGGGAAGGGAAACCACTCTTGGCTGAGTCTCTAGGCTGCTGCAGGAACTGTCAAGGGTGCTTTATATATAGCACACCAGCCAGCTAAGTTTCCTCTGCTCTGAAAGGGGAAAAAGACTCGATCACAATGAATGAAAAGAATGTACCTGTTTAAAAGACAAATGTATTACTGTAAAGAACAGTGACAGCTGACATCTAGGTATACTTAAGATTTTGGAGTTGGTTTTATTAAAGAGGTTAGTAAATGCTGGTTTAGCACAGAGTGTAGGTAAGGTTTATTTTTGTTCATTTAGCAGGAAAGCAAATCAGGTTTCAGTGGGCATACTTCTTTCTGCACTTTGATTTCCAGTGTTGCAAACTACCCTTTTTGATTGCCCGCTGTGTGCCAGGCCCCAGGTATGGCGCCTGCATTATCAGGAGGCGGTGCAATGTGGTTGGTGAGCTGCACAGCACTCTGCCGGGAGCTTGCCTTGGTGCCTCGTGAGGCTGAGGATAAGAATATTCTTACTATTATCACATAAATATGTAGTAAAGTCTGAATGAGATAACGTACAAAAGGACCTACTGCTTGATTTTGGTTGTATCTTCTTTTGGGGAGGAATCTGCTATTACTATTCTGGGAGAAAGACATTTGTAAAAGTAGAAGTAGTTATGCATGGCTTATTGTTAAGCTGTGATCATTTGAATGGTATTACACAGCACACATACTACCTCCTGCCATCCAGAAAGAGCTGTTACCTTGTGAAATGAATGTTTTAATAGCTCCTGTTGTTCGTAGAGAGCTCTTAGCCCTTTTTGCTAAGTTTAAATGAAGTGAAAGATTTCCATAGCAAGGTCTGATCTCCAAAAAGCAAGTATATCAGAGTTTATTTTTTAATCCTATAATTTTAGAGAAGAAGATGGTGACCAGAGTTACTGCTTTTGCTTTCTAGTGAAGCAAAATTTATTCCTGCATCAAGTAAAAGGTTGGTTGCCTGGCTTTTATCCCACTCACATCAACAAAACTGATTAAAAGGGAGTTGCTAGGCAGTTTTGCTGGTTTCAAAATAAGGTACAGCAGTGATAATGATGTATTGATTCCTGAGTTAAGCATGCTATTTATGAAAGCTTATTGTCAACTTGGAAGAGATCACCTATTTTGAGATTTTTGATATCAAGAACCTAATAGTTGGTACGTCTCAAAAGAGATTTAATTTAATATCTGTAGCACGGGCATGATTTTGTTTTGAGAGGAAGCACTGTACCCAGGAAGAATACATTTGCCGTCTATTAAGCTTTTAGGGTAAGATGTTCTGTAGTGAATCATGAAGGATTAAAAATCACAAATTAAATCCTAATACTTTAGAGATAGGAGAGGAGACAGGAAATGTCTCTTTTAAGAACTAGCAGAAGAAAGCATCAGTGAATCACTATAGAATGTTACATAAATAGAAACAGCCTGTGTTTACAAACTCACTTGGAAGAATTTTAAGACGTGCCCTCTGAACAGACTACACTTTAGAATGACTTTTAAAAAAAGACATTGAGAAACCTAGTAAAATTGTTTGGATAGTGATTTAAATTTTACTTTTGATTATTGAAATTAACTTTGCATAGGAAAACAAAGCTAGTGAATTTTGGTTCATTTTCAGTTTATGAATCTTAGTGTTATTGTATACCACAAAACTGAGAAATTCATCTTCAAATACCATTAATTAAAACTACTAATATAGGTTGCAAAGAGGAAAATATTTAAGCCAGCATCTAACACTGGCTGAAAGGCCTTTCATTTGTCATGCATTGTGGTAAATACTGGGGAAATAAAACCTAAGCACTCCCCCTGCTCTCAAGGAACAGGTGAAGGACTGTGTCTGTCTACTGTTCCTTCTTTCCATGAACCTGCTGTTCATTCTCCTGACTTCACAGGCCATTTCCTTTAGACAGTAGCCTAGCTTTACAGAAAGCCTAGCTTTCTACTTTACAGAAAAAAGAAAAGCTAATAGATTGGAATGCCCTTAAGTGTCCATCTTCAAACTTTCCTCTCTACATACTGATTCTTTGCCATGTCTCAACATACCCAAACAGACTCCCTGGGAATCTTACAAAACCGATCATTTCTTGTCGTGGTATTTCTTTAATATCTTTAAGTTTTCATTTCTCAGTGGCTTCCTTTCAGCATTTAAATGTTTATTATTTTCACCTTCAAAGCTCGTACTCTATTTCTCACTCTCCCCTTTTACACCCAAATTTCTCAAATTGTCAGTATTTTATCTTGGAATTCATAATCTTTCATTCATAACACAGTCCACTCTTACTCTGATTTCCCCATTGATCCACTAGAGATAACCAGTGGCCTCAGTATGTTCATAACTAAACTTCCCAAACCTATTCCTTCCAAAACTGGCCCTCTTCGAGGGTTTCTCGGCTGCCATTTAGTAATAGGCTGGAAAATTCCCTCGTTACCCTCAGCAACAGGCCCGCCCCAGGAGTCAGTCTCTCACCAAGCCCCATCAGTTCTTCCTACAAACTTTCCTAAATTTACCCACTTTTATCCAGTTACCACTGCCATTCAGCCTCGTCAAGGCCGCCATCAGCTCTCGCCTCAATGGTTAAAGTAGCTTTCTAACTGGTCTCCCTACATCTCCTCTTGCCTTCCTTTAATTCGTTCACACGACACCAGGAATAGTTTTTTAAGAGGCAAATGAGACTACTTGAGAGTATTTTACACTGTTATTCCTCTCAGCCATTATGCAGTTATGCACTCCTGCTGGCCTCTTAGTATGGAAGTACCAGATGTGAGGTGATTGGGGTTTATAACTATACTAGGACCATCGCTAGGTGGTATTCCATCATATGCCTACGCCACGATTTATTTGCCCACCATACTTTTTTGAATAAATACCTGCTTACATAAAGAGGGGTTTTTTGGTTTTGGTTTTGGCCTCAAGTGTGGGGAAGCCAGAGCAGTACAGTCCCTGATACCACAGGTGAGTCTTGAATAGGAGGGAGAGCAGAGACTGTCCCTCCGAAGTAGCATTTTAAAACTGTCTTCAGAGATGTTTCATTCATTCGAAAGAGGAGATAGTACCAGTGAAGTGATGCCAGATTCGTAAGTAAAAGCTTGAATATGAGGACCTTGTATTCTAAAGTAAGGCATCTGAGATTCTCCTAAAAGCTGCGGTTAACCACTGAATATTTTAAGTAAAGGAGCAACTTAAGATTCGGGCTCTAGGATGATCTCTTGGGCAGTGTTGGGGGATATAAGTAGAAGTGGAAGCACTGTATTTTGGAAGCAAGGAGACCAAGAAGCTGTTTCAGTAATTGACTAACTAACCCAGGAGAAGAATGAACCAAAAGTGCCTGAATGAAGGCGGTGGTAGAGAACGGGAAGGGATGGAACCGGTTTAAAGGAAATTAACAGACTGAAACCAGAAACATCCATCTCCTTGGTATGCCTTTTTAAGCTGCCTCCCCACATCCTTCCTATATTTCCAGATGAACTCTTAGGAATTACCTATTCTCTCATACCTTCCTTTTCTGTTCTAGCTTTAATTGGTCTTTTCCACTTGGGAACCAATACAGAAACAATCATGTTTTACTTATCTAGTAATTGTTACTAGCAGCAGTCACTAACTTTTGGGTACCAGACACCATGATTATCAACACTTGGCTTGCATTACCTACTGAAATTTCTATATCAAATCTGTGGTATAGGTGGATATATATGAGGAAACTGAGGCACATGCTCACATAGCCAGTAACAGAGGGAGCTGGAGCATGGAATTCACCTGGCTGTAAAGCTCATTCCTATCCAGTACACTGTAGCTATTGCTGAGTGTGCTCTGTTTGTAGTTGAAAATCGCGTCTTAAGCTTCTGTGCCTCTTAGCCGTAAGCAGATATTCAGTACTTGCAGATAGCCTTTCTGTGTCTGCATAGGAAACAGTTCTAAGAAGGGAGTGGTGTTTTGGGTGATGGCTGTGGTGTGGTTGTAATAACGTGATTATTCTGCATGTTCTTTTCAGATCTGGATGGTGCTCTACTCTCAGGGCAAGATTGTGACAGGAACATGAATGCAAGTTTATTGGCTGAAGCCAGCTCGGGTCAAGATGGAGGTGATGCTGGTAGGTACAGTAGGATTTATTTAGCAAGAATACACTTAAGAGGATTTAAGAATTGGGAAGTGTTTGTGTTTAAGGACCTACTGCAGTTTCTTTCCCCTAAAGGAGAGTATTCTGTGTAAATTCTTTTCAGTCTGTGGTAGCTAGGGAAAAAGCTTCCTTTACAGAAGAATGCCAAGCTAATAAATATAGAAAAATGATAGAACTGCAAAAATATCTATTTTGCCACCTCTCCCCACCTCCTGACCCCCAGTGGAAATAATTTAAGGTCAGTGGATGTTAAGCCACTGCTGATGGGCTTATCCCATGATTAAGCAAAAGGTGGTTGTGATGGTGTAGTCACACGGTCTCAGTATCACCCCACAGGTTACTTCCAATTACGGAGGGGAAAGGCACCTTTACAGTAAAGAGATCGATGAACATTCCCGTAACAAAGTGATTAAACTCAGTGCTAATAGCAGAAAGTGCAACAACGTGCCTTCGGACGTGCACTAGTTGGCACACCGCGTCTCATCTGTGGGGTGGTCGTGCCGAAACGTTTTACCCAGCTCTACTCATGAGGTGGGAAAATCAGGCGAATCCACACAAATCCAAGCTAGTCCAGATTCTAAAGGGTTAATGCTGTGACAGACAAGCAGAGGACCCACTAGGCCAGAGGAGACTGACCAAATGCTTGTGTCCATCTCGATGGCATCATAGGTCCAAACAGTGACTGAAGGGGGGTGTTTGGGAACAGTGGGATGTTGTCATATGGGTTAAATGATAGTTGTGGAACAATTAAAAAAATTTCTCGGGTGTGATAAAAGTGCTACGGTTATGTCAGAGAAAGTTCTAGAACATGTTCTATTTAGGTGTACAGTGATGAGTGCAGATTGTTTTCAAATAGAAATAAAAAAGGTATATGTGTATACAGAGACAGCACATGTGGCAAAACTAGCATTTGCTGAAGATACGTCGATTCAACTTCTATAACTTTGAAATTCTTTTAGAAATTGTTGGGGAAGGGGCCTCCCAGGGTACTGTGACAGCACGCTGTCAGGGGCTTCTGAGTGCAGTGTGCACGGAGCAGATTTAAGCCACAATTCTGAAGAAACTGCTTTAAAGTGGTTTCTCCTAAGTGTTGAACTTGCAAAAAATGTTTTGAAATTAGCAGTTTATAGATCAGATGGGTTGAATTTTGAAGACTTTGCTTGTATAGAAAATCATTAATAATATAAGAATGTTTATTGCACTTGTTTTGGTTTAGAAATCTGGTTCAAGAATGGGTTCAGTTGAGCTGTGTGAATTCACATGTAAAATTTTAAATTTGTGCGCATAAACATTTCAATTAGAGAATGGCCCAAATAATTCATCTCATTTTCAACCTTCGATTTAGCGTCATTTCTCTTGAGGACACATTTTGATCCATTAGTATTTTTGCAACTGAGCTCAGCCTTTGTTTTACAGTTTTTACTTTTAAGAACATTGCTTTCTTCTCAGTTATTATGGAATAACGTACCAGGAAGGATAAAAGATGTCGTTGAACAGTAAGCAATTTTGAAGTAGATTTTATGACCTATTAATGATTTTCAGTGTATTGAATTACAAAGGAATACCTGTGTTAAAGCTGCTTTTATATTTCCTATAAGTTTCTCTTACTGATGATAAGAATTTGGAGAGATGAAATAAGTTTGGGATGAGGCTTTCTTAATTTAAATAATCATTTTGTATCCCAGAATGGCGTCTCTTGCCTGTTACCAAGAATGCTTTTTATTATATCTTTACTATAGGTTATTTAGAAAAATACGGAATTTCAAGTATTAAAAATCTTTAATTCTGCATTTTTGTCAATTCATGCGTTGTTCTAGGTCTGTTCTACTTTACGTAGTGATTAATATTTAGTTGAGGATAGCATATCTAACATTTCAGATGTTAGTTTTTCAAGTATTTTGGGCAAGTTAAAAATACCCTATATATATTAGAATTTGCCAGATACATTTATTCAACAAATAATTGAAGGGTATGTGTTTGGGACATCAGACATACACAAAGGTAAGGCAGGCATAGCCCTGGCTCTCCTAGAGCTTGCTTTGTTTTGCACTTATTTGGACAAGAACTCTGAGTCACAAACCTCAAACTTTATTTGGAAATGTGAAGCTCTAAACTGATACAGTCACCTTCACAGGATCCCATCCCCGTCCCAGTGACCATCCCACAGACATCGAAAATGGTGCCTCACTTTAGAATTCGAAAAACTTCCCCCAAAACAGTGCTACCTTATAGTTAAATTCTATCACTGCGAATTCAGAGGGCTTGCCTAACATTAAAAAAGTGGGCGAATGTATTCCAGATACAAAGCAATTTACATTAATAGTAATGAAGTGCAATTTTTAAATACCTGAGAGACCTTTTTGCATTGTTGGGCATTGTGATCCTGTCACCAAAGGTATGAGAGACAGCGTATCTGGCAAACAGATACAGGGAAATGGAATTCGTAGAAACCCCACTTTTGGCAAGCATTCTTTTATAAAATCCATGCTGTCCACGGGAGAGAAATGAACAGACTGCTGCACGAGTGCGCGGCTGTGTTCGGCCTGGGAGGGAGCGTCCAGGCAGAGGCTTTGAAGCAGGAGCACTCCTACACGGGAGCAGCGCAGAGGCCGGTGTGGTCGAAGCAGAATGTTGCGGGGGTGGCTGGGAGCAAGGGCTGGAACAGGCAAGTCTCTGCGGGGCACTGGCGTCTTCGCCTTTTACTGTGACTGAGACCGCCCTTCCTTGTAGCCTTCCGGCAGAGCCGGGCTCCGACTCTGATGGTGTTGAGAACAGAACTCTAGGAGACAAAACTAGTGGAGTTGGGAAGTAGCTGATGGTTACTGAAAATAATCCAGAAGCTAGGGTCGACGCCTGAGTGGATCCAGGGTAGCAGTAGCCATGGAGGATTCTGGATAGGTTTATACTTCCAAAGGACTCCTGGATACAAGAAATATTCAAGATGGGATTAAGTCCAGAAGAGAGCATTTCTGTTTTAGCTAGTCTGAAGATCCTCGGGCACAAATTCCCTACGGGACATCAACTGTTCTATTTTGATTCTACCTTCTGGGTTTTAATTCAAGGATGGATTTCGAGAGGTTTTGATGAACCCCTAAGGAGGGCCCCAGTGTGCCTGAAACAACAAACGAGTCTAATAATACAAGAACTGTACATTTGTAATTCCCCTGTATTTATATTTTTCATCCTTAATCCACTTTTCTATGCCAGTTAAAGCCTTAAAACTAGATTATGTGATTGTTTGGGGGACAAAAGGAGACTGTCCACAGCTGGGATTCAGGGTGATAATCTCAAGTGATAGAATAGTTAGGAATAGCAACTCTCAAGACAGTTCTGTTTTGAATATGTTTGAAATACAGTATTTTAAAGGCAGTTTCGTGTGGCCTCCACACACCAAAGATGGTATTCAGATTTTACTGAATTTTTTCCTATGGTTGAATTGCATTTTACACTTTAATTTAGTTTGTTTTCTACTTAAGATGCCTGCCAATTAGGATATCATAATTAAGATAACAAAGATGAAGGCATCTCAGTTTTAGGCAAAAATATAGTTGTTTTATTATTAAAATACTTTGTATATGAAGCCGTTCTATCGTGATGCTCATATATTTATTTTTTGATTCTATTCAGAGATATCTTTATTACCATTATTATATCAAAATCACTTTTCTAATGTATTAGGTACTTCACATGATTTCAAGTATGGCCTGATGCCTGGCCCTTCAAGCGATTTCAAGTATGGATTGCTACCAAGTACTTCAAATGAGTTCAAGTATGGATTGCTACCAGGTGCTTCAAACGATTTCAAGTATGGATTATTGCCAGAATCTTGGCCGAAACAAGAAACTTGGGAAAATGGCAAGTATTCGTGAACTAATAAACATCAACAGAATTCTTAAATAATTTTTAACAATTAAAAGCTTTCATATTCTGAGTTTTTAAAAAATCAGAGCAGTAACCTTATAACAATCTCTGTTCTCAGGGATAGATAGGGTTTTGATAGCAAGTTTTCTGTTTAAAGTAAGTGCTTTTTAATGTGTTTTTTAATTCTAAGGTGAATCATCTCTCAACACGAACAAGTTAAAATGCCCTCACTGTACCTACGTGGCCAAATACAGACGAACACTGAAGAGGCACCTGCTCATTCACACAGGGGTGAGGTCCTTTAGCTGTGATATCTGCGGGAAGCTGTTTACTCGCAGAGAGCATGTAAAAAGACATTCCCTGGTAAGTAACTAAATATAATTCATCTTTGAGATAAACTATGTTTACGTCAGTGAAGTTTAAGGATTTTTAACACAACTACAATTTTAAGGAAAGTCAATTATTAAATTGCTTTCAACAAAGAATGTGATTTATGAACTGATCCTGAACATCATACAGAAAAAGTGGTATATTCACTCACTGTTAACTGGGTAGTTTAATTTGAATGGTTCAGATGCATTCTGTTGTCTATACCATCCTTACGTTGGATTTTCCACCCCTTCAATTAGGTGCATAAAAAGGATAAAAAATACAAATGTATGGTGTGTAAGAAGATCTTCATGTTAGCAGCCAGTGTTGGAATAAGACATGGATCTCGACGCTATGGTGTTTGTGTAGACTGTGCAGATAAGTCACAACCAGGAGGGCAAGAAGGTGTAGATCAGGGACAGGACACAGATTTCCCTCGGGATGAAGAATATGAGGAGAATGAAGCAGGAGAAGCTGATGAAGAGCTGGCTGATGATGGAGAAGATCAGAATGATCCATCTCGATGGGATGAGTCAGGAGATGTCTGTATGTCTCTAGATGATTAACTGACCTACTGTACTCCTCAAGGATGCTGCATTTGGACATGATATGAATCGACAATTTGAATTGTTGAACTTGAGGCTTTCAAAATAATGGTACATGCTGGATGGTAGTTATGTTGCTGTGAAAACTGTAGGGTCAAAGCCTTATAGCAAAAAATTTTTTTTTTATATTTGCACAGGACTGTACAGCAAACAACCTTGTGGTTGGATTACACAGAGTCCCCACATCTTCAGTCAGTTATCAAAGCAAAAATATTTTTTATTTATAGGATATACAGTAACTTTGGGTCCTATGAAAATATAGTACCTGTCCAGGAGCTGACATTCATGTACCACTTTACCATGAATGAAGAAAACCCATTTATGAGAGTACAGTGACAGCCGGCCCAAGTACTCTGTCCATCAAACCACTCAGGCTAGTTTGTACTAGTAGAGTTTCATTTCTATTTTTATTTTTATTAATTTTATTTTTTTTAATACAGATTTTCAGTGAGGGGCCTTTTCAGCCCCATTGGTTGTACTTTTCTGTATTTTCCATTTTAATTTGCTTCATAAGTTAAACTAAGTCTCTTCTAGTCTTAGGTATTATTTCTCAATTTTGTGCTGATGGGCATGTTTATAAGAACTGGAGAGGTAATTTATTGGAATGAACTAACTGACTTCCTCCATTCCCCCCTTCCTTTTTGACATGAATTTTACTACTTCACAAATGAAGAATGACGTTGCAAAGTTACCAAGGCGAAGTTGACAAATACCACTAAATGATTATGATTTAGAAGTAACTTTCTCCTGCTGCTCTAATCTGATAAATGGTTATTTACTATATGACGTTTTCTGACATGGTATTCAGTTTTAGGTATCTGTTACTTTGGCACTATTCTTGTTTGCCTCTTTATTTTTGCCAGTGTACTATACCTCAGTCCTATTGGAAAAAACAAATCTAATCGAAAGAAGACGCATAGAAACAATAAGTAAAATGATTTGTTTTATAATTTATCCTCCATGTCCAGTTTGGTTAGCTTGTTATGCAATATAAGTGAAATATCAGGTTTTTACTCTTGTGCCCTTTTATCATTAAAATTAACACAAAAATTGCATTCTCTTTCGTTTCATACTTACCGGGATGTTGAGTGTTCTGGAACTATGACAGATAATTAAGTTAATTTATTTTTCTCCCCCAGTTCTTTAAAGTCACTACACCTTGAGATACAGTCTAGTAGTTACCATGATTCAACAATATTGAGAGGCTTTACAGTTCATTATACTAAATTCTTCAGGGTACAAGGGGTGATAATATTGAGTAGAAACTGTCAGATTTAGCCTAATGACAGATGAATTAGCTGATTGTTAAACTCACAGCAACATTTCACATAGTAAATATTAACATGCACAGCATTTATCAGGAACATATTGTATATTATATAAAATTGAGGGATATCATATTTTCAGCTTTCTTTTAAATAGAAATTGAGTATATTTTCCTATTTTATATCAGGTAACTAAATTATGCTAGTTGTGTGGGAAAAGTTGCAAAGTACACTTTGACAGACATAATCCTTTTGGTGCTCCATCTGATCAAAGTTGAAACGTTTTTTAAGAGGCATGTTTTCTCACTGTCTCTGATTTCAGTAGAATAATGGTTAAATGTTAGACACTTGATGTTTCTGCTTGGATAAATCAAAGATAAAGTACAGTTACATGGTTAGATGCATTTTTTGTCACCTAAATTTTATTGTAGTTTCTACATAACTGTAAAACTGACATGAATAGTTTTGGTTTGATTTTTGTTTAAGACTGAAGAGTACATCTTATTCTCAGTGTTCTAGATAAATGAGTAAAATGTAGTTCTGGTGGGGTCCAAAGTAGACGTTAGTTGGGCAAAGATACTATGAATGAAAAAGTATTTTAAGCGTAAAATGTTCTGCATTGTGAATATGTAAGTATAGTATAAAGATTTCTTTCATCCCATTTATCCCCTCCTTTAAAATAAACCATAGTTTACAATTGGTAGATCTGTCTATATATAAATATATATTAAAGAGAAGATATATATCTGAAAATCACCTAAATCTGCTTTATTAGACTACAGTTCACTCACTGCATAGAAACTGGACTCAGCTTTACATTCTTAATGTACTTTTACTTTTTCTCAAGATATGAACTTACTCTAAGCTGAATTTTCTTTTACTACTTAAATCATTTATGTATATCTGGTAAATTATGACCAAATTTTTGTTAGAGTGCATATACAGTAAATTGAAATACACTTGGTACACTACAGGATTGTTGTGCTTTTGTTTGGGTTTTAGTTGGAAACAAGGTTTGATGTAGATGGCTTGTTACTGTTAATTTAAAATATTCTATAATTGTCCATTACCTTTTATGTTGTGTTGTGACAGATCTGGCTATATTTTTAGTCAACTGAAATATGATACTTTAAAATTTTGTTTTTAGAAAGGTAATCCAAAGGAAAAATGTTTATACTCTTGAATATAGTAGCCTCAGCCTATATATAAATTTCTTCTTTAAAGTAAACACTTTACCAGAAGCAGCATTGACAGATTTTTCTACTTGCTGACTGCCTAACTTATTTTGTTCCACGATCTGGAGGGACTGCCTTTTCCCTTCTAGATCTTTTTTTAAAAGATTAGTTTTAGTACTAAGGTATACTACTGGACGTTTCTATTTTTTTAAGTATATTCTTTTTTTGACTTACAGTACAATTTCAGGAAGTTGATAGATACTAAGGACTTAGGATTGGTCTCAGAGGTAAATATACTCATAATTTTGTCGGTGGAGCCCTGGCAGAATTATGTTACACATTTGCTGAATTTTTCTCCTGTAATTTATATTTTAAATGAAAAATATTTTAAAGCCTTTCATTTTAATGAAGGGGAAGAGTATAAACTGTTTCTTTCCTATTCACTCTAGTAACAGACCCTCTCGTGTCAATCAAGATCGTGCATTATTTCTTAGGATTCTCAGAGACAGTTACCTCCAAATGGTCCCCACTTTGTCGTTGTTATTGGCCCTTCATTTCCAGATTCACTAGGCGTTTTGCTAGGTTTTAGCACCCTAGCCAGTCAAGAGCTGAAAGAAGAAACATTCGAGGAAGGGGAACTGAACAGGAACAAGCAGTTTGAAGCTCTGGGGGAAAACACGAGCTGGTTTGGCAGAGCCATCCTGATGGAGCAGAGTGACATGAATGACTTAATTCGTGTAAAGCGCTTAGAACGCTGTCTGGCAGTTGTTTAATAATGAGTGTGAACCAAGAGGAAAAGAAGAAATTCGAAGTCGGGGGAAAGAGGGAGGAAACAGGAAGTGAACGGTTCAAGGCTTGGAAAATTACGCTAATACAATATAGTATCAAAGGCCCGGAGATGACTGTAGTATATAGTATGGGGGAAAGTGTGATGGAAGACGGGTTTTAAAAGTCACAAAAATTTTAAAATTTTGATAAGCTTTATTTATATTTTTAGGATTTTGTCAACAAAGAACGAAGAGTTTATTTTTCTGAATGATTCCAAAAGTTACCTTTTTTTTTTAGTGCCTACACCTGCTGTTGCGCTTTACCTTTATTTTACCTGTTCTCCTGTAAGGTAGGTGCTATTGTCTCCACTTTACGGAAGAGGAAAGGCTCCCAGCCACCTCCTTGCACCTGCCTCGTGAGACTCGGCCACCGAGGGGCTGAGCCAGGCACCTCGCAGGGGGCTCCGCTGCCTCGTTACACTTCTGTACAATTTCAGCCCTTTAAAGGAGTCTCGCCTGTGGAGACACATTTTCCCTATAAAACAGCTCCAGTAGGAATCTGAGTGTCAAATCCTCCCTCCCCCAAATATCCTTACTGCTCTTTCCTCCTGATACAGCAGTGGTTTTTTTTATCACCCGACATAACTAAGACACCCAACATCAGTGTAGTACGTGCTAGGAATTGGCTGTGGCATTTTCATTTTTAAAAGGATGGTTTTTAAATGAAGAACTAGATGTGAACCCAAGTTTTTGTGCCGTTCAGTCACCCAGATCCTTAAAACTTAACTATGGTACATAATATATGTGCTCAGAAGTACCAGGCGTTTTTCTCTTAGTCGCTTCAGGATTTAAAATGGAAAGTTTTGTTCCTGCTGTATCCCTGCTTTCCAGCGAGGCTCAACAGTTCTGGATCATTTAAGATGTGTTTGGGATAAGCACACTTTAAGCCCGGAATCTGATGACATTGGGTACTTAAATTTGGAGTGCACTGGCTATTGAGAACAAAATTTGGGGTTGAGAAGAGGGATGGTCGAGGCCATGAGACGGGAGAATCCGCATTTGAACACTGTAAACATAGAAAGAACACTTGCTTCTGCCTGCTGTTTGTTTGTAAAAGCTCTATGGGAAGACCTTTTACGAAGACCAACTTTTTGATGTAATTTACCTACCTAGTATAAGTGTCCTAAGACATGTATGTAAGCTTCCAAAACTGTTTTGTCTGTGTATTTAGAAAATACACAGGAATCTTTATCAAACCTAAAAATATAAACTTGTGAGCACTAAACTGCTTCTGGCTTTGTGAATTTTGTTGACTCTGACATTTAATTCAGATTTCTTTGCATTTCAAGCATACAAAATTAGATTAATTGGGGTAGAGGAATACCTTTGCGAACTTTTGACTTAACGTCTAATTCAGATACCATCGTACTTAAGGTTTACAAGTTTGAATAATTTACAAGTTAGAATATCTTAAGAGTTTTCGGATGTTTTTATATGAAGTGCGTAAGTGACGCAAGCTACCTCTGAGAAATGCATTGCTGCTTTAGTTAACAGCCGTGTTTCGTAATCAGCATGTCATCTGTCTTTCATCATCACTAGTTTTGGGATTCTCTACAGATTTTCAAAAACATTAAAATATTTTCCCTGTGATTAACGTGTGCATAATTTTGGCAGTGGATTGAAAAGTAAAGGTAAATCGCTTCATCCCATATTTACTGCCTATCAGTGGATTGATGGATTATAAGTAAATATATAAATTTCACGTCTTTGAATCAGCTTTTTTTTTGTTAGTTTTTTTTGTGGTGGGGTTAGTAATAGAACAAAGGTAATCAAAGAATGACCAGAAATCCGGGCTTCACTTAAAGAAATGAGAGTTCGATGTAGTTTGGAGAGGGGCGGGGCCTTCACGGCATGTGATGCCCACGGTCTTCGACCCCGTGAAGGAACTGATGCTGCGGAAGAATCCGAGACGTCCTGCACGGTTCCGAGGGCTTAGGTTAGGGTCGCCTGGCTCAAGATTAAAAAGACATTTAATAATGACCCAAAGATGAAATGGGCCTGCTTCAGAAGAAATCCTGCTTTCCTCCCACTGGAGATGTTCTAGGTAAGGTGAAAGATTACCTGACAAGCATTTTGGCTAAGGCAGTACTGACCAAACATTTCTAAAGGTTTTTTTATTTTGTTTTTAAATTTTTCAGACCTTTGTAGTTGCCAGTTTTTTGTCTGCTTTAGTAAAAACATTGAGAAGAGTAGGTATGCATAAATGTCTCGTGATATTTTGACACCAAAAAGGGCACGGTTAAAATTTAGAAACGTTTCACTTTATGGAAAAAAGTTGCCACTTAAGCTTTTTCTATTTCACTACAAATCATCACAGACCGATGCGTAGAAGCTGGTAAAGGACTGGATCTGTGGTTAGCTAAGAAAATTAAAGGTCCTTCAGGTCTTAAGTGTATGTTATGAATCTCTTTTTCTTTTTTGTACTAGAGAAAGAAAAAATGGACTACAGGTTATCTGTTCAGTTAATTAAAGTGAATGGGACATAGGGTCGGGTCCACAGCTGCACAGTGCCTCACATGCTATGAACACTGCCCTCTGACCATCAGCCAGAGACCTTCCTCTTTTTCCCATCACAAAATCTGGCAATAAAATTCTTATCTTCCAAGCATAATTAGGGACATTTTAGAATCTCAGTGAAACATATGCAAAAGACAGTCATCTTGGCACAAATGTAACAGCTGGCACATAGTCTGCACACAGAATTACCAAGTGAATGATTTAAAGACGTCCGTACCGTTCTCATTTTGCCCGCTTGTATCTAATGCCATGTAACGAGCAGATTTTGTTTAGAAGAAGGTCGTGTTACCAAACACAGGATATGTGGGCTCACCCATCCCGGGCCCTTGAGACCCTTTCCTCAAACATGCAAAGGTGACCGGACCCAACCTACAGCAGAATATTACTATGGCGATCTCAGTGCCAGAGCCTTGTGATTTTTTTTAAAAACCTACACCATCTCCATAACTCAATATACTTAAGAGACAGGTTCAGTATTAGCCGTTTGTTGCAAAATATTGGTTTTAAAATGACTGGAGTAGCTGCCACTAACATGGAACTGTCTAACGTTCCGTGTCTCCGAGGAAGACGTAAACATCTAGGAAGAGCCCCGCTGGAGGGTGCGCCCCACACAGCAGTGCGCAGCAGGCATCGTCCTCAGCTGCTGCTTGGGTGGCCGGGTCCGTGTGTGTGTGCAGAGGCATGGTGGGTGCTGGCGCTGGTGCCTGCCACGTGAAAGGTGACCTGGACTCGGCACTTCTGTCACCCTGTCCCACTCTGGACTCATCCACTGGATTTGGGGAGTACCTGACCCCCTAAACGGGGGATGGTGGCATTCACCAAGATGGGTAATTCTCCAAAGCGGGTTTTACCACACCGATTTTTCGGGTAATTTCGCCTAGCTCATTAAAATAATTAGCTCATTCCAAAGAATGGCAATTACAGAATTGAATCAGCCTCCAAGAGTCCAGGGCCTTGTCCTCATCTATGGCAAAGGAAATCCGAAGAAAAGGAAGACTTCGCAAACAGCTAGAGCTGTACACGTGTCGGGACGGTGTCCCCTTCACGGGCTGCAAGCTGTCAGAGCCCTGCACTAGGCTTCAGGAGGCCTGCCTTCCCAGCGGGCCCCGTGTCAACCACGCGGGACCGCCACCCGAGAGGGGAGCGAGCGCCCACGTCCGTCCACGGGCCTCCTCTCTCTGCCATGCGTGGATTCAACACAGATACTAAATGCCTATTTGTTCATGAGAAAATAGTTACCCGTGATGGAGGAAGAGATCACACTACGTCCTGTTCTCAGTGATTCTTCTCCAAGCCATTGAGATGGGAAAAGATGCAGAACTAAACAAGCAGCGGACTTCCCAGAAGCCCCTCATCCGGGAGGAGCGGCAGGTAGGATGCAGATCCGGTTAAGCTGACGGGTACAGACAGCGTCTTGCCGTCCCCCTTCGACATGACACAAAATACTTTCACCTTGAAATATATCTTAGTAAAATCTTTGGGAAGAGAGATTTGTTGCCCGTATGATTTTCACATGGACCTTAACGTTTTCGCCTTACCTGGCAAACGAAACGTGTGTGTGAGCCACGTGTCCCTTCCCTGGGGTGGGACCACATGACTTTCCAGGTGCCGCCTCGTTCTCTGCCAGCACGATCGGGTCACCCTCGGATTACACGAGCTCTTTTTTCAGAAAACCCATGTACGTACTCAGGAAAACTGACACCTACTGTGTGAGGGCCTAGATAAAGGGACTTGGACCTCGTGGAGTTTTCCTGTCCAAAGTCACAGGTGCTGTGGTTGACGCTCATCCTGCATTCGCTCTGGGTGGGGAAAGAGCCACAGTGCCTCTCAAAGGGCGAAACCACAAGCCTCTGAGTCCCCCGCCCAAGTTCTTCCTAAGGAACGGGAGAGCTTAAGCATCTAGTCGGTTTTTATGTGCTTTTGTTAGCATAGCATATTTACACCTCACTAAAATCTCTTAATAGCCAAGATCTAATCAGCGCCCAAAATCGCAGTGGTCTCATATCACGCACTGTGTGTGAGACACAATTCGCTTTTCAGTCCAGATTCTAACAGTCTATAGGAGTCTGGTTTGGCCCAGACTCTGTGGGCCCTGAGTTCTCCATCACAACTAGTCACCTGTGCTGCTCTACTGCGAAAGTCATAGTTTGTAAACGGATAGTGTGCTGCATTCTGGTCAGACCTCAGAGGATCAGGCAGTGGGCTGCAGCCTGCTGACCCCTGAGCTAGCTCTAAGTACCCCGCTTCCCACCCCCCTCCCTCCCAGCCGCTTTGGTCCCTGTGATGCAAGCATTGAAAGACGATGTGCCTCCTGACATCCATGAGGTTTTCCCTTTTCAGTGAATTTTTTCCTTTCCAGAATTACAAATCTGGAGTAGCAACAAGATTTAACACTTAAGCAGCACCATTTTAGCTGAGAAGGATAAAAACCTTACCATCTTGGCTCTGATTAAACAAGACCTTCATAAGAATTCAGTTAAATGCCACACCCCAGCACACAAGGTCCTCCATTCCCTGGCTCCTCACTAAGAGAAACAGCCAACTCAGAAATACACCCAGAGCTTAAGAAGAAGAGACTGTCACTTGCTGATAAAATTATATACCTTTCTAATCTAGACCCTTTTATTGTCAGTTTATCTTATGTTAAAAGATCCTTTTATTTTACACGAAGCCACAACCTTCATTGAGCACTATGGCATTACCTTTCCATAGCCTTTAGGATGTAAACTATCTGGGAGTCCTTCGTTGATAGCTACATTCATAAAAAGTGTCAGTAAATTGGACTTGTCCTTCATCTTCGACATAGCTTGAAAATGCTAAGCTTGTGAGTCTGACTAGAACACTCCCCATCAAGCCTATGGAAAAATAAATTCCCAACACTAAAGACTAAAACAATCGGGATTCAGGGTCACCGTTTCAAACAGCTCGGTGCCCACTGCGAGCCCCACCGAAGACGATCTGATGCAACTGTCTAGCTCAGTCTCCTGCAAGAGCGGGCCCTCATTAGTACCTGTCAAATGGACCAACTACGGAGTGAGCACAATTCTTCACAGTCAAAATTTCTATTTAAAACAATTTCAACATTGGTCGAAAATAGTTCCAAGCGTTTTTCCTTATTACTAAGATTAAAATTAATCAGCACAGATGGTCTGATTACAAGGGAGTTACAACGAGTTGTGTTGCTCTTCTGCTTAATGAGATCCTGCCCGGACCGTCAGACGTGTTGGAGATACTCTGAAAGCACCTGCGATGGAGCGCGGGGAACACAGGCCCTCGGCCCGCGACGGGGGTGCCGTCTGGGCGTCCCATCCCGTCCTCGCCCCTGCACGCTGGACCGCAGCATCGATATGTGATGGATCTACCTTCATCGAGGCCACTGAAGACCGAAGAGCCAAAGCCTCAGGCCCGCATCTCGCTCTGCTAGCAGCTCGTTTCCTCCACCCAGCTCTCCTCTCCTGACCCTGCAGGTCCCGGTAGTCCCTCCACTCTGTGCTGGGCACTTTCCCGGGCCTCATTCAGTCCCAGATGATCACGGCGACTCAAGCCCTGGAGACTTTCATCGCTGACCTCGCTTCAGAGTTTACACATAACTGTTTAAATGATACTGTGCACTGTTTGATGCACAGAAGGTCACAGTTCTTTGTCTTGCACTACCAGAAGGCTGTTAGACTTACATTTTACTGTATGGAGTCTCCACGAGTTGATATT